TAGCAAAATCCTTGGACACTCAAGCTCCTTCTAACTGGCTGGTATTTGCATACAAACTATGCCCTTCTCCACCCCCTTATACTTAAATCATCTCCAGATTACTTATAGCAGCTAATCCAATGTAAAGGCTTAGTGAGGAATTGCTATACTGTATTCTTAAGGAGATTATGTTGAGGAAAGTTTGTGGTTCAAAAAAGATGTAATTTTAAAGATATATATTTATATCACTATAAATAAATATATTATTGTAAATATATGTGTGTACAGGCACACACATATATTTTTTTCTTTTAACCCCAGTGGGTTGAATCTTCGGATTCAACCCACAGGGGCCGGGGGCCGGCTGCAGTAGCAATGGTGGCTGCTTGGCTCTGGAGATTGACGCCCTGGGTTTGAATCCTGGCTCTGTCGTTCATGAGCCACGTGACCTACAGTAAATTATTATCATTGCCTGGATTTTCTAGAAAATAAAGCCTGGGTCAAAGCTCACGTGGTGAGGCATCTTTGGGGGCTGCTTTGGTGAAAGCACAGTGAGCAAGGCCAGGGACGTGGAAGAGGAGTTTAGGGACACAGAGCAGGCAAGTCAGTTGGGGCCTTGTGGGATGTGGCAAGGACTCTGACCTTTACCCTGGGATCCACTGGAGGGTTTTGAGGATGTGTCAACTCACATTTAACAGGCCAACCCTGGCTGTCATGAGAACAGGGGCAGAGCCCAGGGCCCCCCAGGATTCTGTGGCAATGATGCAGGAAAGAGCTGGCCAGGAGGCAGCCCCGGGGTGGGGCAGCCAGGTCCCTGAGCGAGCTCTGGATGGATTCTGAAAGGTGGTCCTTCGGGTTTGCTGATGGATGGGGTCTGGGGGTCGGGAGTCTCTGGGTTTGGGCCTGAGCAGCTGGAAGGGTGGCAGCACAGCTCACTGAGATGGGAAACATGAGGAGCAGACGAGGGTGGAGGTTGGGAGTCAGCGGTGCTGAGCTGGGGACACCAGTTAGGCCTCCTTGCCCTCACCTGCCTGGGGAGGTGCCTCGCCTGTCCACACTGTGCGGGGCCAGCCCCTGACCCTGAGTGGTCTGCTGCTGTGCCAAGATTGGGGCGTGGGAATGGCAATCAGGTTTGGGAATCCCAGGTCCCCAGTGTACCCAAGGCTGCCATCCCGTGTCCCCTCATTGGCCTCTCTGTCCTCGTCCCTCCCCTGCTCCTCCTGCCTTCACTACCTGCCACCTCTACATTTTCAGTGTTTCTAATAGACATCGGGGCCGTCACAAACCTCCCTTAACCTTGTGACCGTCCGATCATCTGGCCACATTAAAGAGAGAGGGACAGACGGGGCGGATACAGCAAAAGAAGACAAATCCAGCAATTGGGTGGTCAGATCTGTGACTAGCTGTGCATGATTGTGTTTCAGCTCGGTGGCGTGGGTCTCGTTCAGGACAGGCTGGCTATGCCATAGGACATGGCAGGTGTGAAGATAGAGTGATATTTTCTATTAATTACTGTAACATTAGGGACTGGTTCCAGCTGCATGAGACAGATCCCCCCCCCAAAAAAAATCAATGACTTAAATGCTCAAGCTTATTTCCTCTCAAGAGAGAGGCACTGGACCAGGTACGGCAGCTGCCTGCCCTCCTTGCTGCTTCCAGAGCTGCTCCAGTGGGTCACCCCAGACTTGTCCCCATGGTCCAAAATGGTGACTACACACCCAAACAAACAACAGAACCAGTTTCCTTGCTGCAGAGTGTAGGAACAACAGTCACGAGCTGCCCCTGTCCTGGAAGGTGCCCAGAGGAACTGCACAGCACATCAGCCATGTCTTTGTCTGAGCTCAGCCACTGGCCATGGCTGCTCGGCGGGAAGGACCTTGCCCTTTGGCTGGACACAAGGCCAAGTGCATTACAAATGAGGGAGGTGGTGGGCACAGGCAGCTAGTAGGCTGGGAGACGCTTGCTTGGGTCCTGGTTATCAGGGGTTGGCCAGCTGTGGGCAGCTCGTGGGAGGCCTGCTGGACTCACGGGGCTGTGCTGTGGGTAGAGATAGGACTGAGGGGGAAAGTCCATTCTCAGCTGAAGTCACCCAGGAGCTGGCGAGGAAGGCGATGCACAGGGAACATGACTACGCTTTGCCAAGCACTGTCCCCGCTGTTAGCCCACAGACACAGTCAAGACTCCCTTGAGTGCTATGGGGTGGTGTGTCCTGCCCATGAGAAGGGAGAGCCCGGAAAAAAATGCATAAATGAAGATACCAATGCAGAGCTGGAACAGAAGCCTGGCGCTGCCGGAACCGTCCCTGAAAGCAACCCCTGGCTCGTATTCTCTTGGGGCTCACAGACATCCCAGAGGAAGAGCGGCTGCCAGGGGGCTGGTCTGGTGCCCGCACCCTGCGCTGGGCAGAAAACTGGCCAGGAGAGCCTCCTCCTTCCTCTTGACCCAGCAGTCAAGCGTCAGGGACCTCAGACAAGCTGCAACTTGCCCAAACCTCCGTTTCCCTGGACTCTGAGATGGAGATCACAGCGGAGCCCTGCCGGGCACTGAAATGAGCTCCTGTCTATAGAACACCCAGGGGGTGAACCAAACCAGTGTCTGGGCCATGACAATGGCGCCTCTTCCTTTCCCTCTGAAGCTTGGCCCCCTCCCTTGCCCGGGAGTCATCATTCCCAGGTTTTTCCTGGCTCTTCCATAACCCTGGGAAGGTTCCTGATAGCCTGGAATTTTCTAGACTGGCAGCCTTCCCACAGTGCAGTCTTCTCTGGCCCAACGACCCCACCAGTGGGGCCCCAAGCCCTGGCAGTTGGAGCGCTTCCTAAAACCTGGGAAGGGCTTCCCAAAATCAAAGATCATGGAGAGAAATTAAAGTAAGCCTTCCCAAACCGTGTGGAATGAAGGGCTTTAAGAAGAAGGGGTTCCAATTTGTGGCGGACCAATATTTCTGTAAAATTCAGTGAAAATGATCTGAAAAGAATTGAAATTTTAAAAATGACAATACAAATCCCCAATTTTTCTTACTTAGTCAATGTACATAAAATGATGCCCTTAGCATCTCGGGAAAGTGTCTACATGCTTGCTGTCAATTAGTGACCTTATCTTGTGAAGACCCCAAAACCCACAGAGATTGAGAAACCACATTTTAAGAGGTATTGCCTTGAATAGTCTGTACTTTCTACTTTCTAAAGGAAGTCGGGCTCTTCTTCTTTTTTTCAAGACAAGCAAAGCTCTGTTGTGTGACATTAGATACTAGAGAGAAGCCACTACTTCCCTAAGTTCCATGTCCCAGCTCATGGGTTTATTTTCTAATTTTTCAGTTTGCAGTCAAAAGTTGCAAGGTACTTGCTGATGTGTTTTCTATTTTTTTAAATAGAGAGATATAGAGAATTTTTTGATATTTATGTTTCAGTTTTCGACATAACATCTTTATTTTATTTTTATATGGTGCTGAGGATTGGACCTAGCGCCTCGCGCATGCCAGGCGAGTGCGCTACCGCTTGAGCCACATCCCCAGCCCTGTGTTTTCTAATTTTGTTTTTGTTTTTTTTATTTATAATTTTTAAAGGTTTATTTTTAGTTGAAGGTGGACCTAGTACCTTTATTTTATTTTCATGTGGTGCTAAGGATCAAGCCCAGTGCCTCATGCATGCTAGGCAAGCACTCCACCTCTGAGCCACAACCCCAGCCCCTAATTTTGTTTTGATGATACCCCTGTAGGGTCCATGGAGCCAAGGGCGATAACTTTTTATAACTGGGACTGATGAAGATCATGGGTAGTGGTGGTGATGATGGGGTGGGGTAGGAGGCACGAGGAGGCGCTTTATCCTTGATGCACGTGCTGGCTGGCTGACGGCCCGCCCCACCTCGCTGGGTTTACCGAGTGCCCTCGGGAGGGGCTGGTCAAGGAACCACAGGTGCACTGTCCCACACAGCTGTGGCCAGTTTACTGTAAGTCTCCTTGCTGAGCACAGCCATGGCATGCAGGCCTACCTACCACCAGAAGAGTCACTTCTGCCAAGGACCCAAGGCTTCCGGGGATCCATTTCGTCCACTGTCACACTGGACTCAGGCAAATGCCCAGCTTCAGTAAGCCGTCATCTTCCAGCATTGCCAAGGCACCAGGCAGGTTGAACCAAAACAGACCCCCCAACCCCCTGACACCGTGACCCAAGAGCCCTGGACACAAATCAGGAGGCGGCAGGGACCTCTGTATTGCCTGTGCTAGCACGTGGGATCGGGGCTGTCACACACCAAGGACCAGTGAGACAAGTGCTTGGCACCTGATGTCATCAGTAGATACCCCAGTACATGAATGCTATGGGGAAATGTTTTTTTAAGAAAATGCTTTTCTTAATCTAAGAAGAAATAACCATTTTCACTTTTATTGTCTGATGAATGGGGCCAACCTCTATGCTACCTCCTCTTCCCCAGCACTTTCTATCATTTGTATTTTAAGGTCAAAATTAAAAGCTAGTTCATCTCTGGGCCCGTAGGCCTGATACATTTGGCCCTGTGTAGCTGTACATTGTAGAATCGGACTATAGCGC